TGTGAGTCCAGTGGCCGTCTGCGAGACACAGCGAAACCCAGCCCGAAACACACACACACGCCCGCAGCCTGGCTGGGACTTTGTGTGTGTGCCCAGGGTGAGTTCCGCGGTGTCTCCCTGTCTCGCCGACCGCACGCCAGCTCACACTGTCCCGCTCCTCGCAGCAGCGAGCCTCGCAACGTCCCTCCGAGTGTGTGTGTTTGTGAGGAAGTCCGCGGATTGGTCCAAACTAAACGGCTGTTACGTTACGTCACTATACCCGAAATACGTCACTATACCCAAGAAGTAAACAATGGAAAAAGAGGAATGTCCAACGAGGCGTTCTGGGGCAGCAAAGACAGGTCTTTTCTGTGTTAGAGTTTTACTCCCTACAGGGTGTACTTTGAGGTTTTGACTCTGCAGACCGTTCACATGCAGAGAAACCTTCATAACACACAAGGGGACGGGTAATAAACAGGAAAGCATGACATGGGACCTTTAAGTCATAAATAGTGCTAGTGACACAATGGTGCAAGTAAGATGCAGGATTTAGAGGTGGGTTCTGTTTACTGGTTAGAACTTTTCTGTAAGTATGAGTATCTCTTATATATAACTTATAAAGTTTAATATCTAACTGATGTGTGTATACAGGCTGGAGGAGAATTACATCGTGTGTGAAGGAGTGTGTCTGCCTCGATGCATCCTCTACGCTCACTACCTGGACTTCTGCAGGAAGGAGAAACTAGAGCCGGCCTGCGCTGCTACGTTTGGAAAGGTGTGTCAGTCTTTGCACGGAAAAAACAGACCTTATTTGGCCAAAATGTCCTCTTTAAAATCAGAAAGAAACTAATCTGAATAATGTGCAAAAGCTCAAATAATTAAACAGTTTGATTTTGTGTTTCCCGTTGCGATTAGAATAAGAGTTATTCCACGTCCCAAGAAGTACTTTGTGTTGTAAACATTACATATTGTTCACTATAAGTGTACTTTAAATTTAGATTTATTAATTGATATCCTTTTATCATCAGACGATCCGACAGAAGTTTCCTCTTCTAACAACGAGAAGACTTGGCACCAGAGGACACTCCAAGTAAATGCAAAATGTCACTTTTAGCCTCGATTTCTTATATCTTTTATGCACAGAAAGCTGTTTTGCCTCCTATAGCTCCAACACGTTGTCTAATTTATCCCTTTTTATTATGTTTGCCTTGTACAGATACCATTACTATGGAATTGGCATCAAAGAGAGCAGCGCTTACTATCACTCTGTGTACTCAGGAAAAGGGTTGACCAGGTAAGATCTTATTTCTTTGCATGCAGCTCTACGATGTTTCCTCCCTGTTTAAGCCCCTGTCACACTGTCCCGAAATTGACACCCGATGGACACACGAATATGGAATTGTGAATTTCGCACGAAGATGGCCCCGAACCACACACGAAGGCAACATTTACATTACATTCAAGACATACAACTGCAACGAAAGTAACACAAACAATTATGTAAAAGTATTATGATACTGTACTGATATTTTCAGACTTTGTTCTTTACTTTCTCCGTCTTTATATGTAGAAGATATTAAGTTTTCTCCGTAATGTTGTTTCCATAGCAACAACAACTTCCTGTCAACTCGCCTTCAAAATAATGCAACCCGATGGACACGCGATAAAGGAAAAGTTCAAATTCAGCTCTGATTGTAACAACATCGGGCCATTCGTGAGGGCATCTTAAGCCATCGTATGACCGCCGGTGGAGTTTCTCAGGCAGCAAGTTCGTGAGCGGTGGCAAAATCTTTGGCATGCCAAAAAATTGCCGAAGGACCTTGCGAAGGTTCATTTTCGTGTTGAATTTGTGTGTCAATTTTGCCCTTCGTAAGGCCATCGTGAGAGCATCGTGAGAGCATCTTGTTATCATCGGTGCCATCGGGCATTCGCCCCGATCAGAGTGAGGGCGAATGCCCGATGGCACCGATGATAACAAGATGCCCTCACGATTTGACAAGATGCCCTCACGAGTTCCTTACGAAGAACTTGCCGCTCACGAAGTTGCTGCCGGAGCCTGAGAAACTCCACCGGCGGTCATACGATGGCTTAAGATGCCCTCACGAATGGCCCGATGTTGTTACGATCAGAGCCGAATTTGAACATTTCCTTAATCTTGTGTCCATCGGGTGTCAATTTCGGGACAGTGTGACAGGGGTTCTAGAGATCTCAATGTCAAAGCATGATGTATTTAAATAAAAATCAAACCTGTTTCTCTTTGATTGCAGATTTTCAGGGAGCAAGCTCAAGAACGAGGTGAGTGAAAGTTATATAACTTAAAGAACAACTCAAAAGCGTGCAGATTTTTGCTGCCCTCTGGTTGAAGGTTTGTCAAAGCGTTCCTACATTTGTGTGTTATATTTCTCCCGCAGCGAACAAAATACATACAAATATAAATTATCTATTTTTAGGACATCTTTCCCAAACAATAATCTTTTCAATCATCCAAAAAATGTAGTTTTACACATATATCTAGTATTTTAATTGTGGACATTAGGCTACAGTTCGTCAACAAAACAGATGTACTGATTGTTCTATGTTTAATTTACTCTTTAAAGAAATACCGTAAAGATGACAAAATAGGACCAATCTCATGTCGTTGTTTCTTTCAGGGAGGTTTCACCAGGAAATATTCTTTGAGCTCAAAAACTGGAACGTTGCTTCCCGACTTCCCCAACGCTCAGCATCTCCTCCTGCAGGGAAACATCTCCAGAGAAAAGGTTCGTGATAAATATCAATTTATTTCCACATATCAGCGTAAAACATATTCTGACTTTCAATTAGCTGTAACAAACAAGAAGCTTGTGTAAACTGTGTTCGTTATTCTCCCGACCAGGAGAGAAGCTTTAAAAGGAGACTAAATGGAGTCTCTGTGAAAGTTCAATTGGGTACTTTAATTAAAAAAGGCGCGGGTTGGTCACAAGCATGATATTGTTCAGTCAGACAAACAGCTGTGATCCGCTCCTCGTTAGGGAAGAGAAGAGGCCGATCTCTCCTCCGGTGCTCTTATATATCCTCTGCTGGCTCCTCCCCGCCAGCCGGCTCGCCTCGTCTCCAATGTCCGTTGTTGCATTTAAACAGANTCAATTCATTTCCACGTATCAGCGTAAAACATATTCTGACTTTCAATTAGCTGTAACAAACAAGAAGCTTGTCAGTGTTTATTTACATGTTGCATGGCAGAGAACTGACTTTCAGATGGGGAAACAACACGTTCAAACTATTGTTACATTTGCTTAATCTTCAATCAAAAGGTGCTTGATGAACTGTAAACACAATTGAATCCACAGCAGCTGTTTNTGCATCCTGGACAACGCCATTAACGTCAACTTTGAGGAGGTTATAGATACACCATCACCATCACATGAGAGCATTCGGCGGTTCCTGGCACAACCGTTTAAACACCCTTTCAAACTCGATTTAACTCTTCGTATTGTTTTTGTTTCAGATCCAGAATTTTCTGCTGCATTTCTGGCAGGGCATGCCCGACCACCTGCTGCCGCTGCTGGAGAACCCGGTTATAGTCGACATATTCTG